TGGATACCCACACTAGTCATCCGAAAGTTCAATAAAGATACTCCGATTATCGAGTGGCCGTATAGATAGACAAGATATCATCATGCTGATGTAATATTATATTAGTGGAAAGCCTAGTACCCTTTCCGCTTCAAACAGAAGCTATGCAAGGGCATCTAAATCCAGATAATACGCGACTAGACAATGCAACAAGTACGTCTCTATTTATACAGCTATTGTGGTATGTTGGAGCACTGCGAGTGCACCAGAAACAGAATAGAAACAGAACAGAAACCGTTCTGGAGCGATTCGGATATTTGGGCAGTCCCGGCAGGGGCTTCGGGGGCCGCTATACTTGGACTAGTTCGCGCATTTGCGAGTGCCGGCCGATAAGATAAAAAAGTTGTTGCCGGAGGCGCCTGAACTTTGGCAATGGGCCAGCCAGCCAGACATGACAGTGAAAAAAATGCAGCGACTAAAATAAACAGCAAGCAAGTCCCTAACTCGAGTTCGTTTCGCTTTCAGCAGCTGCCACAGATGAGGCACCGCTGGCCACGAAGGCCACTGACTGACCGCCAGCCGCCATTCCCGGGAGCCTCCACCTCCAGCTGAGCTCCAGCGAACCCCGCGAGATGCACGACCTGTTCACGAAAGTGCTCGCCAAGCGCGACCTGTCCCGGGCCGGGGATCTCTTCTCCGTGCCCGATGCGGACATTGTGGATGACATAACGGAGGTGGTAGGTCTATCTGCAAGCAAGTCTTTTATGAACCCCGATCCACCTTCTCCTTCACTCGCTTGCAGCTATCGGAGATCAGCCCGATCATCTCCCATGCGGACTACGTGAAGAACAACAACGACCAGAGCGTGGTGGAGATCTGCGTGACGCGGGTGCTCTCCTGCATCCGGGAGACCCGCAGTGCGGAGCGCTACTGTGCCGCCCTGGTCGACCTGCTGAAGACCTGCCTGCTCTGGAACCTGCAGCCCTCCAGCGCCACAAAGGAGGAGCCGCCGCACGCCAAGATCGCCGCTGACATTATCTCTAGCATATTTCTAGTGAGTGGCGCCCAGAATCATAGAATCATCCATGATCATAGATACTAATCCACTCTACTTGAACCCAAACAGAACTACGATAAGAAAGAACTGATGAAAATTGCGCTGCCCATTGCCGTACAGTTCCTGCCGAAGGGCAACAAGGAGCTGTCGCGCAACCTGGCCAGCTACCTGTCGCTGGCGGCCATCGACCACGCCATCCTGTTGAGTCCCCATACAGAGTCCGTGATGGAGTCCATCCTCTCCGGCAACTACGGACTGCTGCGCGTCCTCTCGCAGGTGTACGAGGTCACCCCCGAGGCGGTGACGCCACACGCACCGCTGCTCATGCCGCTGCTGCCCCAGTGCGACCCCCAGGAGCGTATGGCCGTCTTCCAGCTCTACCTTCTGATCGTGCAGAAGTCGCCCGAGGTGCTAGAGGAGTGCGTGCCCCAGCTGTGCGGCTTTCTGCTCGACAACGACACCTCCAGCATCACCATGCAGATCCTCCTCAAGCTGGCGCAGCACGCTCCCCACCTGCTCGTCGACCACTTCGAGCAGCTTCGTCTGGCGGCCAAGACCAATCCCAGCACGGCCACGTTGTGCGCCCAGATCCTCACCACCGCGGGCATCGGCAGCAAGGTGACGGCCCAGCAGGCGCTCGACTTCGTGCTGCAGCACCTGCCCACCCAGGCGCTGCTGCAGCAGGAGGCCACGCGGCTGTGCTCGGCATATCCCGTGCTCTTCACGGACAAGGTGCTGGCCTGCGTGCGGCAGAAGAATGCGGCGCTTAGCTCCCAGCAGGATGTGGGCAGTGTCCCGGCCAACAAGACCTCCGGCGGCGTCACTATCGTCAGCCTGAACAGCACCAGCTCCAGCCCCAGTCCCCCCCTGAAGCCAGCTCCCGTCGCAGCACCGATCATCCAACAGGCGGCCACCACCAGCAGCAGCAGCAGCAGCACTGTCAATGCCACGCCCAGTGCGGCTCCGACCTCAGCGCCCATCGCCACATCCACGCCGACGCCAACGGCGCAGCACGCGGGCTATACGCGGCGCGTGAAACTGGGTGACTCCAGGAGCACGGGACGTCTGCATCCAGCCAGCAACACCCACAGGAGCGTGACGCGGCTGAATGTGGCCAGCGGCTCCGTCGGAGGCCTCCACAAGAGCATGACACGGCTGAGCAACTCGCAGATTAACCAGCAGCCGGGAGGCAGCTCGAACGGGAACGTTGTGGTGCAGTCGGGGGCCACGCCCAAGACGCCGGCAACGTTCAGCAACCCGCCCGTGACGCCTGTGCCGCCGCTAAGCAACAACGTGGTCATCACGGGCCACAACAAGCACGGGATTCCCGTCACCTCTGGCGGAGTGACCGTCACCACGTCGCCCTCCAAGGTGCGGCCCCATTCGCAGGGGCCCTCGACACTGCTCAACTCCAGCACGGTGCTGATGAAGTACAGCACGGATGCCCTGAATCAGTCGGTGGGATCGATCTCCATACCTCCAGCCTCGGCGGCTGCAGCTGCGGCTGCGGCCCCTTCACAGCAGCCGCAGAATGCGGTGTCCGTGCACCATGCCTCGCCAGCACTGCCCAGCGCATCCTCCAGCAACGGCAACGCAAAGTCGGTGATGAAGCTGCCCGTAAACGGGAATGTAAGTGGAAACAGGCACGATAATGCATAACGAAAGCTGATTGCTAACGATCCACTGATATTTGCAGAGCGAAGTCATCGTCTCGGGACCAACCACCAATGTGGCGCCGCGGCGCAGCGACAACACCAGTCGGACCCTCCTCAATGCCAACAGTGTGATGGACCAAAGGATGAGCACCTTCGAGCCGTACCAGATAATGCGCGATCCCGTCCAGCAGTTCTGCGAGAAGAACTTCAATTCGATCAAGTCCTACATGGACGAGGTCTCGCAGCACCTGCCTCCACCCACGCGCTGCAGTATCGAGGGTAAGCTTGTGCTTCGATCTCTGGCTCCTCTCTCGATCTCTGACCATCCGTATACACCACACCCCACACACCCCACACACCAAACACATCCATACACAAACACATCACACAGTTTCCAATGAATTCGCAGAGCGACGAACGAAAAAGGTGGCCAAGCTGCATTTCGCCTGCCAGATACGCGGACCCCACTGCCTCTACTCGAAGACGTGCTTCACGATGCGCACCCGCAACCCCAAGACCTGGATACACATGATGTTCCTGGACTTTCAAGTGCGGCACTTTGTAAGTGGGATCCGCACCGATCCGTACAGGTCGCAGAACCTAATCATGACACCCACTTCCCATTTCAGGTGAAGGAGAAGTGCGTGCTGAGCACACGCGAATCCGGTATCAGCAATCTCAAGAACATCTGGCAGATACTCAAGTGCGAGAACCGAAGTTTCACGGAGCTGGTCACCAGCCAATTTCCCCAGGTCAAGGTGGGTTCATTTTTTATACCCAATACTCAAAGAGTACGCCCAAAAGGAATTGTTTCCGACAGCTCGATGAGCGCCTAGACCTCAGAGACCATAAGAGCTAGAGCAATCCAATTTGGTACTCAGTCTCCTGCGATTCCACAATGTGCCTGAATCATTGAAAATGACATTCGGTAATCTGGTTTAGATCGGTTTAGCCAGAAGGAACAAATAAATTGTAGGGACTACGAAACGCGCTTACTCATTCTCTCTCTCTCTCTTACAAACACACCCTTCCTCGTGCAGTGTGTGCCCTCAGAGGGAGCGAGATATAAAATATGTAACAGTAGAGGAAAATTTGAATAAAATAATTCCATATGTGGAAAGGAGGATAGACAAAGTTCACGAATTAGTATTTACGGGTCTTGGTTCCTCTCTTTCTATCTATCTATCTATTTCCATCTGTCACGACAAATGCCTTTAAAAAAAACGGCGAGAGCGAGAGGGAGAGAGAGAGTAATCGGCTTCGATATATGTAGGTTACATAAATCTTAAGACTATATATACATATACGCGGCCCTTGCCGCGGCTCACAAACGTTCCCGCTCGTTTTATGCATATATCCAATCTTTGACCTAATTCTAGGACCGCGAGATACTCGTGAATGAACTGCGGCACTCGGGATTTCTGGATGTGTTTGAGGTCTCCATCACCGACAAATCCAACCCGAATTGCAACGAACTCGAGTACCAGTGGGGCTGCTTCCTGTGCAATCATCCGGACAAGGCGGTGGGCTTCCTTAACGGCAGCAACCAGCCCATGATCGAGGGCCAGCTGAAGGAGAAGAAGGGCAAGTGGCGGCTGTTCAGGCGCTGGCGGACGCGCTACTTCACGCTCTCCGGTGCCCATCTCTCCTGCAAGGGATCGGTAAGAGCACGCCAGAGCAATCACTATACGAGAGGATCGTAATTCCGATTGGGTTTATTCTTTTCTTCAGAGCGGGGGAGAGAGCATCGATGTGAACCAGATCCGATCGGTTAAGGTGTCGCGGGGGGCACGTAACATACCCAAGGCGTTTGAGATCTTCACCGCCGACCAGACCCTAATACTCAAGCCGAAGGACGGCAAGAATGCCGAGGAGTGGGTGCAGTGCCTCAGCATCGTGGTGGCCCATTCGCAGGCCCGCGACAACCCCACGGCAAAGACGAATAGCTTGCCGGCCCGCAGCATGGGCAGCAGCAAGCCCTCCTTCTAGGATGCTAGAGGGCTAGGATGTTAGGATGCGGAGCACCCACATTGTGAGATTATTTGTAAATGTAAAGACAGAGCAACCACAACACACACAAAAGACAAAAGACAAGGGACAACGGCGCCCAGAGGACAGCTGTATCCCCCTCCACGCACTAAATACACCATATATACAATATATATATATATTACTCTATATATACACAGCATACATATACATGTACTTATTATCCATAGACTTATCTAGCAAGTACTTACCGTTTCAAGGGATTTCAAAAATTTTGCGAAATTGTTTTTTCATTTATAGTTGATTTTTATACATATGTATTTAGTTTATGCTTATTTATTGTACGTGTATTAAACAAACAGCTTGCTTTCAAAGTCGGATCGAGAGTTTCACCTTTCCACGCCCAATGCTAACGCAGATTTATCTACATACAATCAGAGCTACGGCCGTAATGGTAGGGAGTTCTTAATATCTGCTGCTAATATTCGCAGTGGAAAATGGACGCGTCTTTTTGAGTTAATTTGTGACTTTGACACACTTATAAACTGTGGCAATACCTATCGTTGCTATCGGATAAAACAGAATTGATAAAACATCTTTTTTGTCTGTGTATCTTGTTACTAGAAATGCAAACGAAACTGTTTTCAATCGAACTAAAATCGACTATAGCTTAAAATTGAAAATTGGGCTTGGGAACAAGGTTTAATGCATTCCTTGCAGGAATGCCTCTAATACTTTCAATGAGACGCCAGGACTGGATTAAGGAACTGATTCCTTCAGCAAAAATGCTACATATGGCACTGCTGCAGCAGCTTGTAAGACAATATTTGTTTTCTTAAAATAGTTCCACCTTTGGAGGGGCTAAAACATTTAGAACTACAGTTTTGCTTGGAGTTTGGAGTTTGGTGACTTCCATCCGCATTACAGACGAGAGCTGGACGCAAACATTTGTAACTATCTATTAAACAACTTTCAATAGTACTAATAGTTAACTAGAGAATTAACAACAATTTGACACGATTCAAGGCAACTGCGACGATGAGGCCAAGTCCACATCCCCATTGGCATTGTGGTCAGGTTCGTTTAGATCCAGCAGCTGCGTCCAGTTGGCGTTTAGCCTGACGGTCTCCATGTCCTGCCGCAGCTGCTGGAGGGGCGTGTGCAGCTCCAAGGGCAGGCCATCCCCCAGGACTCGCGAGACGTGCTCCAGTTGGTTGGCGTAGATCCTCAGGCGCTCCACATTGTTGTTGTCCTGCGGCAGACTCGGGACCTGTGGAAGGGGAAGGAAATAAGTTAGATGCTTTCGATGTGGCTGAATGGCCCACTCAATGGCTCTCACCTGGCTGCCACACAGCGTTTGCAGATACCCACTGAGGCGTGGATCCTGCAGCTGACCGCCGGCCTGCCACATCTTTAGGAGATTGAGGATACCCGCCACATCGCCCTGCTCGGTGTCCTGGCTGGGGGGCGAGAGCAGGCGCATGGGCGGAAACTCTGTGGTGGGCGACAGCTTCTTGTAGCTGCTGCAGAGGGTGCTCAGCGTGCAGATGTCTTCGTTGAGGCGCTGGCCGGTTGAAGCGGTTAGCGGTTAGCGGTTGAAGGATTAGCGTTTGCAATTAGTTTGGTTAGTTCTGGACTGGGCTCTGGGTTTCATTTTAAACGAAAGAGTGCGCTTTTGAGCTTGATTTGTGACTGCCGTACCAGCGATGTCGTGTGGTTGATGGAGTGGAGATGATTGAGTGATGATTGGAAACAAAGTGAAACAAATTATATACGAAGATCTCAGCTCGAAGCTCGAGGCCAAGGCCGAAGCCGAACACAACAGATAAATAAGCCAAGTGATTTATTTGGATTTAAGACTACAACTAAACTAAATGATTCAAAAAAAATAAAATAAGATCGCGGTCGAGAGATTGGTTTGTAACATATGAAAATATAGTATATATATCTGCCGATAAACGAAAAACGATATATAGAAATGTCTTCGAAGGATGCGCAACACAAAAGGATCCACTAAATCAAGATCTAGAATCTTACGTCGATCTCGTTGCGGTGGCGCTGCATCTCGGCCTTGGCCCCGCTGAGGTCACTCCCCTTGATCATCAGCTCCTGTGTGGCATCCATGAGTTCGTCCTGCAGCTTCAGATTGACGTCCTCCAAGTCTTTTAGTTTCTCCAGCATGTCCTCCTTATGCTGTTGTAGTTTGTTCCTACGAAAAAACCACAGACAACCAACCGATCAGCAATCAGTCAAAGCTCAATAGCTCAAAACAATCCCCCCACTCACTTGTCCACAATCAGTTGCTGGATGCAATTGTCGTTGTCCAGCTGAACAAGTCTCAGGACCTTGAGCAGCTTGGTGACCAGCGTGTCCACCTCGATCACCTGATCCACCACTGCCTGGGCCGTGCTGTACTCCATCAGAGACGGCAGCTCTGCGAGCGAGTCGTGGCAGCTCAGCTCCTCTGTGTTGCATTGATCGCGTGGACTGCAAGGAGACCGAACCCATGAGAACTAATGCTTTTTATAATAACAACAGGTAGCGATGGCTTACTTCATGGAAAGTGCACTGATCTTGTGCATGTGCAGCTCCATTTGCTGGCGATTGGTGATGGCCTGCGACAGCTGCTGCAGCGAGTCGTCGCCTCCGTTCTGGTGACTGATCATCTCTGTGGGCAGCTCGATCTGGGAGATCATTCCCGTGCAGGAGGAGACCATGTTGTGTGAGTGAGAGTCCGGATGGACCACATCCTCCAACACATTGTCCATCATTAGCAGGCAGGGTTCCGTCTCAGAGTCCAGCATTTCCGTCGAGTCGGAGTCTTCTCCTGGCTGCTCATGGCCCGTTGTTGCTGTGGCTGTTCCCGACCCGTTTTGAGTGGAACCTCCTCCTCCTCCGCCGCCTGCTCCTGATCCTGCTCCTCCATTGCGCTTTCCCGCCTGACGCAGCGAGAGACGCTTGCCAGAGTGTGTGGTGGCCTGGCGAATGGCACCGATGACGGCTGCTATGAAGGATTGGTTGCGCTGCGGCGACAGGGAGCCATCGCTGGCTAGGACAAGCGTGTGCATGGCCTCGCCAGCAGTGGCCGGACAGAGCTGGAGGTCCAGTCCATTGGGCCTAACGCCATTATGGACCTGTTCGGATTCTGCTTGAAAGCGGATGTCCTGCAAGGAGTTTCAAAGGATTAGAACCACCACAAGAGCACTACTTTGGGGTCCACTTACCTCCAAATCCTGCTCGGAAATACTGTAGGAGTAGACCAGCTGCTCCACGAGTCCATCCAGCCGGGAGTGCAGTCCGGAGAGGGCTGTGGAGGCGCCGGCCACCGAGGCATTCTGCTGGTGGATCAGCTCCCGCGACCTGGTCTCCAGGGCCGCGTACTTGGTCTGCAGCAGCCGGTTCTCCTGGCGCCTCTGCTCATTCAGCCGCACCAGGTGCCGGCACTCGTCGCGCAGCACTTTGGCCTCCTCCTCGCGATGGGCCAGCTGTGCCCTAGCCGCCTGGTGCTCCCCCTCGAGCTCTCGCAGGGCGTCGCACTGGGCGGCCTTCTCGTGCTGCAGGAAGTCCTGCAGCTCGCTGGACTCCAGCTCGATGGCTGTCTTCTCCTGGAGCAGCAGCTGCTGCGTGGCCAGTGATCGGCGCATCTCCAACTGGAGAGTGCGGCACATGGCCCGCAGCTGGCCAATCTCCTGCTGGCGCTCGAACAGCTCGTGTCCGCTCATCTGGATCTGCGACTCCAGCATGAGGAGGCTGTCGTGGCCGCCTCCGTCGTTGCTCTCCTCAGATGTGGGCGTCCCAGCGCTGGCGCTGACCACGCGGGCCAGCTCCAGCATCCCCATGACCCGCTCCGTGTTCAGGTGCAGCTCCTGCTGCATGGCCAGCTTCTCCTCCCGCTCCCGCTGCAGTTTCCCGCTCAGCTGGCGCACTTCTTGTCGCAGTTGCTCCAGCTCAAAGTCCCGCTGGTCTGGCTCCGCCTGGCTACTTTGATCCCTCTGCTCCACTGCGTCCAGAGCTCGCGTCTGCAGTAGACCCCCGCCCAGGACCTGCTCCAGGTCCTCGCTGGTCAGCGCCGTCTGCACTGCCGTCTCGTGATAGATCTTCGTCCTGCCCTGCACCGCCTGCAGGGGACGCCGCAGGGAGTTCACTTTGGCGGTGGCCGGAGCCAAGCTCCGCCTGCTCGTGGGCACCACCATCACCGAGGACGTCATCCTGGCATCCACAGCGGCGGCGGCGGCTCGACTGATCGAGTTGCTCCTCGAGAGCCGTCCGCCCGTCAGATCCTCCACGGACTGCTGCTTGCGACGGCGGGGCAGGGTTCCCCCTGGTGCCGGACTGCCCCTCATGCGACTGACATTCACTTCCGGGGTCACTGACATTCCGCGACGGGCTCCTCCTGCCCCCCGATTAGCTGGCCAGCGACCATCGTCGGAGGGGGTTCCTGGCGTCCGTGCCCGACTGAGGGATGGGGTTCTCTGAACCTGGGCCAGGCGCTGCACGGACTGGGCCCGATTGAGGGCGCTGGGCAGCGTATCGGGTTTCTGAGGGCGCGCCAGTCGCGTAGACGCGGACGTGGACGTGGGTGTGGCCGTGGGCGTGGTCGGCACCCGAAAGGAGGAGGACGAGAGCCGTGCCTTTTCGCGGCTACCGGCTGACGGCGTGGCCGGGGACGGAGGTGCCGCACTGTTTCTGGGCAAGCTCACGGCCCGCTTTAGGTTGGCCACTCGGCCACGCAGCTGCTCCAGGGGCTGTGCCCTCGGGGTGGCGTTCTCTGCATTCTGTTCCGGTTCGAACAGGGCCACCTTCTTCTTCACGGCGCTGGTGGTGCTCGTGCGCCTCGGAGGCGACTCCTTCTCGCTGCCAGTCTCGCTGGGAGCCAGATCCACTGTGCCGCTGGTGACCACCTTCAGCTCGCAGCTGTCGTAGATGTCCTCCAGGCCATTGCTGCTGGTGTAGCCCCCGCTGGTGCTGCTGAGGCCGCGCTGCAGCGTCACCCGGGAGAGGCAACAGCTGCTGGCCACGTCCAGGCCGCTGTCGCTGCCATCGCAGTTGCTGGTCGCTGTGATCCCTTCGCTCAGTTCCAGACAGGCCAGTCCGGCCACCAGTTGCTGCTCCTCGAGAGTCGACAGGAGAGACTGTTGCTGTTGCTGTTGCTGTTGCAGTTGCTGTTGCTGTTCCTCCGGTTGCGCCGCCATGTCGAAGAGCGTGGCAGACATGGTCGTTCACTCGCCCACTGAGGAGGAGACAAAGAACAAGTAGAGAGAGAGGATGAGTGTGAGTATGAGTGTGGTTCGTGATTCGTGAGTGATTCACTTGTGGCGACCCACATTTCGGTTGCGTATTTTTGGGATGCTGGCATTTCGGTCGCATCCCGCTCCCATTTCCTTTCCCACAAACAAGTTGCATGCCACCGACCTTTTCCCCGAATGCAAAAATAGGTATTCCTCCCGTGCCGGGCCCCACCACCTCCTTCTCCTTCTCCTCCTACTCCTCCCTCCGCCACCGATTCGGCCACAATTCATTTTTTCGGTCAAGTTGCACGCATGCACGCAACATGGATCCGTTTCGATCTGGCAGATGGAATGGCACAACTGCTCTGCGGCCAGGAAAGTGGAAAGGCCCCCAAGGCTGTGATTGACTCGAACTAGTTCACAGGCGACAGACAGCCACACGACATGACCCGACACGACACCGCACTGCCTGGCACCGCAACACCTGTCCAAGCACCGAACAGAACTGGGACACCACATCGCCTGCGTTGGCTCTCAGTTGGGTCTGGGGGCATAAATAAGTTATGAGGAGTCCCATTGTCTCGTCGCCAAAACACTCGTGCACTGAGAGGAAAGCAGGCGAGCAAGAATCAAGATTTAAATGGTAATTTTCGACTTTCGACAAAGATTGAAGCCAATACCAAATGAATTTCCATTCCATGACATGTTGTGAAATCCTCTCTATTCGTGTCATTCGGAACAAAAGTGTCCGTTCGCCTATGGGAAGTTTACACAACAAATCTAAATTATTCACCTTATCAATACACCATATTATTATTATTTTTATTTGTATTTTAGTGACTTAAAACTTTGCATAAATACTAGTAACAATAAAGTAGACTTTTTGGTTTTCTTAAATTTAATTTTCTTTAGTATTAAGTCTGTCGTTATGCCGGATCATACCTATACCAAAGTATTCTCTCAGAGAACACATAACCATTTGTTAGTTGGTAACTTAAGAACACATCCAACAATTGGACAAAAAATAGGTACAAATTATTAGAAACTCTATATTCAAGATATATCTTCACTGTTTCAAGTTTTAATCGCATTTCGAGCAGAAACAGACTTCTTGCTCCTTAGAATTTTCAACAATGATAATAATCCAATATGTATTAAGGGTAGTCCATGCAAATTTATGTCAGAAGGGGAATTTTCGAATAGTGCCAGCTATTCCACATTTTGTTCCCGACTGATCTCAAAGGTGGATTCTCTCAGTGTCGTTGACAACGCATCTCTGTGGCACTTGGGGCACGTTGACCCAACTGTTTTGGTTGTGCCCCAGCCGAGACACTCTCGTGGCCAAAGCATTATTGCGGAACTTTCCAAATTCGCATCCAATTTCGTGTGGCACATTGTTGTCCCAGAGATTCGCTTGGGAGTTCGCACTTTATCGCATCCATCTTTGCATCTTGCCATCTATCTAGTTGATAGATTACTACCCGTGCATACATCATATTTTGTATGTATTTTCCACAGCTCTCGTCGCCAGGAACAAGGAAGTTTAGCTTCGTCTTTGAGAGAGAGTATCAGATATTCTCCACCCTGCCTCTGCCTCTGCCTGCGGAGGCTTGTGGCTTGTGTTGGTCTCCCAGACACACACGTCATTAGTGTCATGTTGTTATGTTGTTATGCGATCTCCCAGAGATCTCCCAGCCCAAAAATTTTGGAGATTTCATCACGAGTTTGCTGTTGTTTTCGGCAGAGTGTGCGAAGGGGAGGGGAGGCGAGGGGAGAATCAGCTTAATGAAGTTGCTCCAGTTTTCAGATAATTGCAAGTTCATTTGAAGCGAATCACTTTACGAATACACATTGTGTGCGAATGAATGCTAGTACGAGTATGTGCCTCGAAGGTGCCTCGAATAGCTTTGGCAGAGTGCCAACCGGTTTGTTGGTCCGTTTCTTATCCACCTTTTCCAGCCCGAGAATGGGCTTGGATCCTGAAAACGACCTTGTTTTACGATATGTTAAAGGCTGTCTCAAGCGGCGTTGCGGCGTTGCGGCGCTGCGGCTGTCGGGCCACTCCACTAGCTCGAGTGGACTTTAAAGAGACGTTAAAGAGCAGGCAGGCTCTAGGCCTCCGCCCTAGACACGACAGCGGTCTAATGAAGGCCACTTGAAGGCGCTGAGGATGCCACAACGGGCAGGGGGAGCTTCTGAGTGCCGCGTGGAGGCATGGGGGCCCCACTAGGGCCTGGAATGAAACGAAGCGGAGCCACACATGTCTGCAACCGCAAAGATACGAGGAGTAGACACACAAAAAGTGTCTACTGGATACATATTGAAAGCAGACAGCCGCAGACAGCGGGTCGTCGGGAATGAAGTTGTCGCCGCCACTATCCACAGAATCGATCCGAGTGGCCCTGGCAGTGAAAGATGCAAGTTTCCGAAGCTCGAGAGAAACAAGTTTCGTTCCGCAACGCCTTATCGGAGTCGCCTCTGTCACTTCTAGAGAGAGCTCTCTGACGCTCTTGCCACATGGACAGGGCGAAGGGATGGCGGATAGTTCAAGGCGACCACACGCAGCGGTGTGCCGCCTGGAGAATAGACCGTCTGGAAACCCTTCAAGGGCCAGTCGTCACGGCACATTAGCTCCAATCAATGGACGATGCTCTCAATTGCCAGTCGCTGGGACAGCGTCCTCCCCCATCAGCTCCGCATAGCCCCTAATTCGATTAAAGCGCTTGATGGAGCAAAAATAGGGCTGCCCCGAACGTGGCAGTGTCGTGGCAATGCCAACTTAATTGCTGCTGCAGCCACAGCAACAATTGCGACGAGTGCAAAAAGCGCGTGGATGGGAAACGGCTTAGCGCTTGGCTCCACGCTAATTGCTGCCTTTGATGTCTTCGCCTGCGACTGGCACCGCCACAGCGGAGACACCTCCTCCTGCCTGCCGCACATTAGCATCTTTTCATCGAGCAGAGCGGAACAGCGGAGGGTACGGGCAGGCTCTTCCGGCAGGCTCTCTGGGAAAAACAAGATATACCTGATTTCGATCTACAAAGAGTTTTCTCTTTTATTGCCAGCTGGACACTAAGAGGACCCGCCTGGATACAGGCAGGTAGCACCATCCTCTCGTCTCTCATTCATGGGCACAGGATTACGAAAAGGTTTTCCATCCCATATAAATGCTCTTCTCGAGAGAACTTCTCAGATCAACGCCATTCGGTCCGGACCACGGTCAAGCTGTTTTCTGGGAACTGCTTTCGCAATTTGTTCCTCAATTATGCATTCCCACACACAGACACATCGCATCACAGTTCCAACGTGAATCTGAATCTGCATATGCAGTGCGTTTCATGACTATAAGGGCATCGTTTTTGAGGGCACACTCGAGATGCTCCAAAAGAGAATGCAGGAGAATGGTACAAGATCAACATACATATCGTGTGCATGATATTGCATGGATTGTTGGTTGGTATGATAGGTACATATATGATTCTAAGGTTCACATAACATAAGCCTCTCCAGCGTTGGTTTAATGTTTTTCCATATCATCTTAAATGGATATTGTCTTCTTTTACAAAAACTGTTGGTTTATTGAGTCTAAGAAATGTATTTTACGTCAGTAGCGACTTTTGGTGGCGTGACATCCCATATAATTCAAACAACTACATTCGTAGTCGTTATACGGTATTTTTTGCGATCAAGGCCTTGTGCAGTCTGTAAATTTCTTCCGTTAAGTGATTCGTCTCTTTTCCAGGAAGGCACCGTTGGAAATACTGATAAGATATACGAAAAATATGAATCGATACAGTGCAGTAGAACATTTGAATTATGTTGGTTGTGGAGGCCGATAAGGTGTTGTTGTTGTTGCTGATGGTAGCACGCGTCAATTGGCTGTCAAGCTTGCAGGTTCGAAACGCACTGTAAACATACAGGGCCCAGCATATGGATGGATGTTTATGCGATCCCCATCTCCCTGGCAAGCTCCCTGGCAAGCTCCCTGGCGATCTCCCTGGTTTATCTGTGTCATATGCTCATAGGGAAGCACGTTCACTGGCATACATCGCACTCGCACGCATACTCGTATGCACATATGTGTGTACATGATGTCTGTTGTGGCAGTTGCATTGGAAACAATTTATTTCCATATACAACGGGGTATTTATAGCAATTTATTTCCACTGGGGGTGACAGGGGGGATTAGCAGTACCTCTTTTGGGCTGTGCATGGGATCCCCCCACATCCAGAACTCAATGGAACTTAATGTTTTGGATGGTTGATTGCGGCGACGACTCTCGTCAATTGATATGCTATTGAACCGTGTGTCGTGGGGGTCTTCCTCCCTGAACAGGTGGACAGACCAGACCCGCGGGGCCCGGTCACGCCCCTGGGGGCCCAAACCACTCCACACCCCGATTTGTTCCCGTTTGTTGTTTGTCAAAGCACTTCCTGTTCTGGCGACGATCCACGAAACTCCAATGAAGTGAAACATTTGTGCCGCGAATTACAATCAAGCAGGCCCGCATCTGCAGCCAAGCCCCCAGTCGCAGTCGCAGCCCCCTCGCAGTCACGGCTATAATGTGTTGCAGTTGCAAGTTGCGCGCACAGTTTATGTCTGTGGGATTGGAGCAGGGAGTGTGTCTGCAACTGCGACTGCAACTGGTGATGGTGCTGGTGCTGGTGCTGGTGCTGGGAGTGGGACTTGGGCGACGAGTTCACTTTTCGGAGGGGAACTTTTCGACTCTTCCGGGTTCTATGCCACATCCATCTCTCTTCCTCCGTTACCCTCCCTCTCCATCTGGGTGTTGCCCCTTCTTCAGTGGTGCTGCTGTATGTTGCACCTGCCGACTTATCGCGCATTATGCACACAGAACAGAACGGGAAAGAGAATTGTAAGCATGATTTTCTAATTTTTAGCCGATTCCGTTGCTGCCCCTCCTCTTTCCACCGCCTTCGCAGTCTTTCTTCAATTTGTTTTTGGGGGCAGTAACTCCTCCGTTGCGTTGCTGCCGCATGTTTCGTGAATCGAAGAAGAACGGCCAGGCCAGGGGCGGAGGCGGAGACGGGGGCGGGGGCGGGTCTGTGATGGCTGTCACGAACGCGGCTTTTGGGGCATTGGGCACTGGGCATTGGGCACTGGGGATCGGCCGCACTGGGTATCGGGAATCGGGCATTCGACTCTCTCCCTCTCTCTCTCTCGGGGCATTGGGGCAAGGCAATGCTCTTGCAACAGCAACAGCAAAGAGCAGGAAGAAGCGGCCGACTGAATCGCTTTTGAAGTTGCCTCTGGATCGCTGGATCCATGGATTGTTGTTGATTTACCATTTGATGGAGTTGTTGTTATTGTTTTTGTTTTTGTTGTTGATGCCGCAAGCTATAAACAATTTTTGGCGGCACGCAAAAGTTTCGTTTTGCATTTGAAGGAAAGTCTGGCAGCAGGCGGAGATTAGGCAACACCAGATGTAGCTTCAGTCTCAAAAAACTTGAAAATATATACCAAATTAAGTTGGAGCTTTGTTGGGGGGGGGACACCCTTCGATTGAATGTCTGGCCTTTTCTGTAGAAAATACCAATATCCATAACAACAAATTTAAAGCCAATAAAACACACCTGTCCATATAATTCTGTACCAATATTATTTTCTAAACTTATTCAAAAAACTTTCAAAAACTTCAAAAACTTTGATGTAAAAACCTCTTTAAATCAGTAAAAGTTCATTTTATCGGGATTTTTTATTATACGAAATAACATTTATGATGAAAGTTCTTCCACAAAGTCTCTTTTACATATTAAACTATCCTTGAAAAGTCCTAGAAACATCTATGCCTAGCCCCAATCTCGGCTAGCGGCTATAGTTCTTAGACTTTTATAAATCCCATCAAATTTCGTGGCGCCCGAAAGTGCTAACAAAGAATGGAATCATTTATCATAAATTCTAAAATTAGTCACATTGAAATATTGGCGCTGGTTTCGATGTTTGGAGCGGCGAAAACCTCTTCTGTTTTTTTTGGCAATTTATAATAAACAAAAAATACCCCTAAATCAACCTCCGCACTAATAACAGGGCTAATCAAGGGTGATAAGTTAAGGCTATTGTTAGATTAAAAATCCGGGTTTATTTTGCCTTTTTACCTTAAATGTATACCAATGTCCCAAATTCAACGAAAGATGTCTGAAATCAGAGCTAGGGTTTGGTTTTCTGGCAGGTTTTAGGGATATTGTAGTAAGGTTTGGAATCTCTAGGGCTTGGTAGACTTTGCTTACTAAGAAAAGCTACTGATTGCTGGAAAACCTTTCATTATTTGAAACCATTTGAAACCATGCAGACTCTCTTTCGAAATTGCCAAGAAAACCATGGGAGTGCGAGTATGCGACAAATTTGATTTGTTTTAAGAGTTCTTAAGTTGTCGAGGGCGTTGAATCGTTCATTGGCCTGGTCTAAAACCGAATCCAACCGAACCGGAATAGACCGAAATGAACCGGAATGAAATGGTGACTAGCATTTCTCCCTCTCTCTCTCTCTGGCTCTTTCCGGAGCTCTTTTGGCTTAATCAACAACTCATTGCGTTGGCAATTACTCCGCCAACTACTGAAATTATTTGTCATATGGCAGAGAAAGTCTCTGTGCATCCGAGTCTGAGTCTCAGCCGCAATCGCAGCCTGGGTCTGGGTCTGGGTCTGGGCCTGAGTCTGGGTTTTCATGGCAGCTACTGGCTGCTCTTTAAGTGTTTGGGATATCAAGAAAATGGCTTTTTATGACATGCCATAATACACATATTTTTCATACCTGATGGATGCCGTTGCCGCCTCCTCCCTGTGCCATACGCCATACGCCACTCGGTCGAATACGAATACGAATACGAATAGGAGATAGTATATCTAGAGCCCCCGACTCTGGTCGAATCTGGTCTGTGGCAAAAACAATGAGTTGTGTACTTCACGCTTGGCAGCGCTTTTTCAGCGGCATGCGCCACATGACACTCTCCATTATAGAGAGATTTGCGGCATGTGGTGGGGCGGGTCGGGCCACAGACAGTCTTGACCATTGACCAGAGACCAGAGACTCTGAGCACAGTTGTTGGGCATGACTGGAGGCAATCGTAAAGCCAACCAAAGCGAGAAACCCGAATGGCAGAAAGCGGCAAAGAGACTTCAAAGAGCAGCTGCTGCTGCTGGAGACGCCACCGAGTCTCGCCTGAGGGCCTCGCTCATTGTCAACTTGTGTGGTGGTGTCTCGAGAACTTTGGCAAGGTTCCAGGCGCAAGACCCAAGGCCCAAGGCCCAGGCCCCTTTCCAGGGCGGTACTAGTCCTCTCGTTCTACCCTCTCTCTTTGAAACGCAATGAGGGCCTGCCTTTTGTCCGACGTAAGCCGAGACGGGGCTCATCTGCTCCGGTTTCAAAAAGCTGCCGGATCAAACAAGACCTAAATCAGGGCGTTCAACTGACCTTGAATGCGGCACAAAAGAACCCCCCAGCCCCAGACACACATATATCAAGCCCATATATAACCACATTTCACATTTCGACGGAAAGAACAGGCTGGACTGCTAAATTTCGCACATTTAAAACTTGTTTATCGCGAATTACATATATGTACATACATATGTATGTGTGCATGTGTGTGTGTGTACATATTGCGATTGGGCTGCCACAAATCGGGAATCTAGAGGTCTGTTATCGGACTGTGTGATAAGGGCGTGGCGTTGGGGGAGTTCTGTGAAAGTGCAGTCGCCAGATAACATTAAGTGGTAAGTCGGAAAGTGGCTGATTGGCGGCCATATCGGGGCGTGTGTCACACACAGAAAAAGCAAGGAACAGAGTGTGGAGATTGGAGAGACTCTCGGCGGAAACTGCATTAATTGAAGCTTAATTAGCGGCTTCCTGGAGTCGGCACTCCGCCAACTCCAGCTCCAGCTCCACATGGCTAGCCCACAGCTACAGAAAAGTATCGCATTATGGAATAGCGGTTGCAATGTCCGCTCCGCATAATCATGAATATGCTAAACGCTAACCAGATATTGGCCAAGCCAGTGATTGACTTGGCTGATTGACAATTGCACCTCTTCCTGATTGCCTTGTCGCTTCGAAATCGATTATCGACGGTGTCATGCAAACTGCTTGCAACTTGCAACACGGGGCATAATGAAGCACGCTCGGGACGTGCCCAGGATACACAATACGGAAGCCCCGGGGGTCGGGTTGCCCTGACCTTTTAATGCCTGCTAAAAAGCAGAGCTACAGCCACAGAGCTTAAACCCACGACAAGGCGACGACAGGCAACCGCAGAGGGCGAGAGAAAGAGACACCTATGACCTGCCCCCTCCCCACTCAGAGGGAGCTCGCACTCCCACTCCACCTCCATCTTAGTCCCCCCGCATCATGGTGTTCCATAACAACTTTCTACCCGCGAATATTTTGAGAGTACTCACCCACAGAGCAGCAGAAGCAGCGACAGCAGCAGTGAGGCGGCAGTGAGGCAGCAGCGATGTGGCAGCAACAGAGGGAGTAGAGTCGATTGTCGATTAGAGTGGAGACGGGAGCAGCGCTGTTCCTCCGGAGGGGAGGATTATGAAGAAGATGATGAAAATGTCAGAGGGCCTCCCAGAGCATTCTCTTTCGATTCTATGGCCTGTGTCGCTTGCGTCCCCTTCTCCTCTCTCTCTCTCTCTCTTGCGCGTGGCTCCGTTGGTGCAGAAATTGCGGATTCGCGGACGGAATTTGCTCAAATTTTCTGCACTCACACACACTTCTGCACAGGCACGGGAATGATCGTTCCAGTGCTCACACGTACGCAAAAACAAAAACACACACACGAATACGCGCGCGACAACAGCTGCAGCAGCTGGAAAGGACGGGAAGAAGGACGAGTCGAGTTCCTGCTGCGGCTTCCTCCGGGGCCTATTGTTTCGTTTCGTTTTACCTAACCAAATGGTTTATTTGTATAGAGTCCTCGCAGGACCCACGCACACACACACACTCGCGCTTACAGCAGCAACAGCAGCAGCAGCAGCGTTTCAATGGAAAAATCGATTGAATCAAGCCTGAAGAACAACGGGTCTCTTTGGCATTTACAGGCGGAGGCTTTGGCATTAAGGAAAAGCCAGCCTTGTGTCGCTTTTATTGGGTCTGGGGCCTGGGGCCAGCCTCGCGAATGCGATCCATAAGGCTTCACAGAAAACCGAAAACCCGTTCGCATTCAGGGGCCGCGCGCCACAGAAAAACACACACAAGCGCGCGCAAAGAGCATTCAAACAGGAAAAAAAATGTACTAATAAAATATTTATAGTATAAGTATGCATAAATATATTATGAACAATAGCTTATCAACAACCTGCAGCAAGCGATTCAGTTGACTTTTGTTGTACACTTTTAGCGACTTTTCAATTTCTTTATCGCGCGCGCGCAGCAACACGACCGCTCGAGTTGGAAATTTTTTTTGTTGTTTCATTTAGGACGAGTGGCTATCGGACTTATCGATAAGATATACCGTCCGACCCTCAAAAATATACCAAAATATATAAATAAGTCCCTGAATGAGCGCGCCAATAGAAATTGTTGGAAAGTGAATGAGCGTCAAGGATTTGAGAGATCAAAAATAAACCTACGCATGGAAGTTTCTACACTCCTTGTTGTTAAATATGCCTATAAAAACTTAATAGATGAATTTGATCAACTATACTTTTATATACCAAAATACCATTTCGTAAGAACCTTGCAATTTGCTTTGGCTGTTTTGGCCTGTTGTCCATACCCTTTTTTATAGCCCATTCAAAATTACGACTCATTTTTTCGTCGCAGGACAGAGCACAACCAGTGTGACCTGCTATATTTTGCAGTAGTTCGGAAAACTACAAATTTCTCAGCTGATTTTCTCAGCTGAAATCGATAAATGGTTTTTTCTCAGCTGATTTCAGTCCGATAGAAAATTTAAAAATTCATAAAAATGCCTACTTCTACGTAAGAAGAACGATGGAAAAACGAACTTAGCTCACTCAACCGCCCTTTCTTTGATCTGGATAATAACTTAAGTTAAGCCGAACAACATACAAAAAATAATTACTCTTGTGGGTCCATCCTATTCTTCATCTTCGCTTAACAAAAACAGCAAGATACCTTTTACCTAAGCTGCTCAAAAATAAAAGTGATAAAATAAAAGTCAATAAAAAACATAGTTAATTATCTAGGTCAAGAGAATTATAGTTTCGACGATTTTCATCGGTGGACAACAAAAATCACGTAAACGTACCGTTACAAAAACCATGGATAACAAATTTTAAATGGTCACCCTGAAGAGCCGTGCTAGGGAAGTTAAATGTATGATATATCGATAGACGTTTTTTTATTGATGATATATATGTAGGTATTGAATTTTGAATTAATGTGCATAGTTTTGAAGAATATGTCTTCAACGAACTACTTTTTTCAACTCTGAGCAAAATAACTCAATTTTTCTGTTGTTTCACGTCGTTGTATCAGATATACCGACTTTTGATACTACATATCGATGCAACAAAATATTGACATTTTTGTGCGATAGGTGGAATTGGTCGACGCTTTATTTAAAAAATGACAATATAAGCGCCCAGCTCCGATTTCGTAATTGTTATTTCAAAATGACAAGCTCAACTATGGTTCGATATATAATTTCTACGGCATAAATTCTGAAACAAAACAACTATCGAATAATGCATCGAATATCGATGCAAGGGCTGTGACTTTGTTACTTAAAAAGGGCAACACTGGCGAACAGCTGTTTGTTCAGCGAGGAAGAAGCAGAGAATTAGTCATCAAACAAAAATTTTAAACGAAATTCCCAGAAAATTCAGCGGATTTCCCAACCAGTTCGGTGCGTAAGACTATTTAAACTTTAAAATGAATCGCCTTTTTGGACGCGGCAAGCCCAAGGAGCCGGGACCAAGCCTAAACGACTGCATTTCGGGCGTAAGTAAAACAAATATGCAGACAATAAACAAAGAAATGACGACATTTGTAATTACTCAAATAGGTCGATGCTCGGGCCAACAACATCGATGAGAAGATCGCCAAGCTGGAGACGGAGCTGCGCAAATATCGCGAGCAAATGTCCAAGATGCGCGAGGGACCAGCCAAGAACTCCGTCAAACAAAAGGCCCTGCGAGTGCTGAAACAAAAGAAAGCGTAAGTGCAGGACCACATAGATCTCAGACCTCTACTGCAACTATTGGTGTGTGTCCCACAGCTACGAACAGCAGTCCGAATCTCTGCGCAACCAGTCGTTCAACATGGAGCAGGCCAACTATGCCGCGCAATCACTCAAGGATACTCAGGCCACGGTGGCTGCCATGAAGGATGGCGTCAAGCAGATGAAGACCGAATACAAAAAGATCAACATTGATCAAATCGAGGTGGATTCCCATTTTTGTAGAGTAACCAATTAAAATGTTTGCTAATATTGATTTTCTTCCTGCAGGACATCCAAGATGACATGGCCGACATGTTCGAGCAGGCGGATGAGGTACAAGAAGCCCTGGGCCGCACCTACGGCATGCCCGAAGTAGATGATGATGACTTGCAGGCAGAACTGGATGCCTTGGGCGATGAAATGGCTTTGGATGATGACTCCAGCTATTTGGATGATGTGGTCAAGGCCCCCGAGGCCCCAAGTCGGGAGCCAGGCGCCGACAGCATCGTCCCGGGAAAGGTTTGTGTTCTATCTATAAGAACGACTGCTTGGATGAGCTGACATTTTCATTAATCTTCTATAGACCCCCACTGGTATCGAGACGGACGAGTTTGGCTTGCCCAAGATTCCAGCATCCCTGAAGACCACGTAGAGAAGGATCCGCAGGCGTCACACTATTTTCCATACTGTTTCAGGCACGCTTTGTACATTATATATAAAATATGGTTGGATCCATCAAAGATTTCACTTAAGTTTCACCTTTGTATGCATTTTCTGTTTTTTTTTTTTTTTCAATAAATAGCCGGTAAAAACAAAGCCCAGCTATGATTGTTTTCGTTAGCAATTCCACGTTTTATTTAAAATAGGATTTACCAGATTCCAGAATCTCTTCCCGATCGGATCATTATTACCCCCGGAATGAAGAATATAATATCCCGTATCTGATTGCCCTGCCCCGCTCCCTTCCTCTGTGGAAGCTTTGGTTTCAATCATTTTAAGTGACAAACTTTTCAACTGCTTAATCTTAAGTAAAGCGTAAGCAAAAAGAGCGGATTTCAATCAAAGAGAGCCAGGGTGCCGAAAACAAAAAAAAAACAACCACCAGTTTTTGGCGAAATATCGCCCATACGAACCGTATTCCGTACTCTTTCGCGAGAGAGCTTTTGCACTGCAGTCAGATTGCAACTGCAGCCAGTACTCTCTTAACCTCACTCTCCCACACACACACTCCCGCCTTTCAGCCCCGCTCACACACAGATACGCTCTCGCCGTCTCTCTCTCTGCATGAGCATGAACGAACCTGCTCATGAACTTGAGCAAACGCGCGCGTGTTTCTCTGCCGCCGCTGTCCGAGTGTGTGTGCGTGTGCGCGCGCTGTCTCCGTCTCTGTCTGCGTCTCAGTGCAGTCCCTCGGTGTTGTGTGCAAAAATAAAGCGTTCGCGTTCGCCGTTTAGTTGTCTTTTGACGGCTGGCTGTAACGGACGCAATTTTCCCCCTCAAATAAAAAAAAAAACGCTAAGCTAATTTACAGAGAAAAACCTTCGCTTTTCAACAACAGCAAAAAAAAAAAGCACCAACAACAAAAATCAATTGTTAAAACGTAACTGTAAAAGCGTGTGTGCCTCCACCCGCGCCCCCTCAACAGCCACTGCCACTGCCAGTGTCGTCGCTAATTAAACGATTTGCCGTGGAAAATATCCCCCGATCAAAAGTGCAATCCCCAACCGATCCGATCGTTTTTTTTAATCCATCAAAATGCGCCACAAAAGAGCCGCGGGTTGAAAAATCTTGAAGATTTTGTGAACCTTTTTTTGATTGTCATCAAAATGCTGCAGAAAATTGGCAGAGTAATTTAAGAGCCAGGAAGGAGAGTCTTGTGTAATTTTAACTCCTGGTCCCCCGTCCCAGACCCAGACCCAGACCCACAACCGTCCCACCCACCAACAATCAACCAACAAGTGCCTGAAAGTTTATCCAAATAAATACGTACATATTTACATAAACAACAACTTTTTTTTACATACTTTTTTTTGTGCAAGTGGAAATAGTTCTTAAAACAGAAAACACAAATATCACCAATAAAAACTTGAAACATTAAATATTACATTGAATTTGAATTTGCTGCTGCATGCTGAAACATAATGGATACACCGCCAATTGGATTAATTTTGCTTGAGATGGTAAGATATCATGTGTATACGAGTACATTGCACAGAATTTCCACGAGAACTATTTCGGTGTAGATCGCTCATACGCAGCGTTGCATTCGCGATTCGACTCGAGTGCAGGGGGAGTTGCAGCCAGCAGTCGCCCCGAATGCAGGAAGCGAATGGTGCGAAAAAGCTTTTTATATTTCTATTTCGTCATCGACTGTCGGTCGGTCATACATAAATTCATATGGCTAATATATACGATATTTATGGTTTATACAATTCTTATTACAAGTTTAGAAAAATAGATAAAGGGATCCAGACAAATGGGAGTGGATCGGTTTTTAGGATAAAACCGAAATGAACAGTAGAGACAGACAGAAACTATAATATAGAAATATTTATATTATTATCAAAAGCTCTTCTTTGTTTGCCTTTCGAGTATTTCCTATATGAGGTGCTTCAGTTTTTTTTTTTTTTCAAAATATCTATGCATATTTTCCAACACAAAGGAAACACCTTTCAAAGCCTTCTCCCGATATTCTTTTATATTTTCATTATATTTTTCGATTATGACTAATGTCCAGGTTTTATGGATGAAGAAAAAACCACAAAATTCGCGGAACTATGATTTTGCAAGACCGTCAATTTTTTTGTTGAGTTGATTTGGATATAGATTCTCCGTTTCGGTGGCTCTCTTCTAGAATTTCAGAACCGTCCGTCGGTCCGATCATGGCCCAGTTAAGACCTAAATTTGTAGATATTAACCAATTAACAGAATTCGATTCCAAAAGGCAAGCAACGATCGGCGAAAACTGCCACTAGCAGCAAAATAAATTATACTTCATTTTTTATTGCATTAACATGTCAATCAGTTTCATTTTTGGGCTCCGTTTTGTGGCTAAACCAAGTCAATAAAAAAGCCAAGAGATGTAGAGATTTGCAAGTCAAAATTATGCATGCGAC